GGTCAGAGGAAGAAAAAAGACAGAGACCTGTAACCTGGCTGAGGAAAAGAGAAATAATCTGTCTTGGGGGAGAAAAATGATTGAGAGAGGGGAGAGTGGGGGATGGTGAGTTTGTCTTTTGGAGCCATAGAGAAGAAGGAAAGTGAGCATCAGAGGAGTCCTTACAATATGCCAGACAATATGCCACCTGCTTTGTTTCTTTGCAATCTCCTGGCAGCTCTCTGAGCTCATGTGTTAGCACTTTTCAGCAAACTTGGAGTTGCAGGGGCTGAGCACCTGCCGATTGGAATAGAGACACTGGAAGCGGACTGTGGCATAATAAAGCAGGTTTAGGACTGTGTTCTTCTGCCATCACACGGTCTTCGGTAGGTTCTCCCCAGGTACACGTCTCTCTGAAGATGGGCCTGAGTTAACTAACATAGGGGCTAAGAGACAGCTCCATCAAGTGCTTGCCCAAGGAGCTCAGATCACAGTGCAGGAAATGTACAGTGCGGGGCATGATGACAGTTCCGAGCTCAGCATAATGTGGGGCGCGGTGCGTGGCGTGGCGCAGTGCGGGGCGTGGTTCAGTGTGGGGCGTGGTTCAGTGTGGGGCGTGGTTCAGTGTGGGGCGTGGTTCAGTGTGGGCCTGGTGCAGTGTGGGGTGTGGTGCAGTGTGGAGCCTGGTTCAGTGTGGGGCGTGGTTCAGTGTGGGGTATGTATGGTTCAGTGCGGGGCGTGGTTCAGTGCGGGGTGTGGTGCAGTGTGGGGCGTGGTTCAGTGTGGGGCCTGGTTCAGTGTGGGGTATGTATGGTTCAGTGCGGGGTGTGGTGCAGTGTGGGGTGTGGTGCAGTGTGGGGCGTGGTGCAGTGTGGGGCGTGGTGCAGTGTGGGCGTGGTGCAGTGTGGGGCGTGGTGCAGTGTGGGGCGTGGTGCAGTGTGGGGCGTGGTACAGTGCGGGGCGTGGTACAGTGCGAGGCGTGGTGTGATGTGTGGCATGTTGGCAGCACGGAACATGACGACAGCTCAGGACATGGTGTAGTGCTGCACATACTGGCAGTGTATGCGTGCATTCCCAGCACTAGGGAAGCAGAGACAGGTGGATCCCAGGAGCTCACTGGCCTGTCAGCCTAGGCTCATCAGTGGTTCCTGTCCCAGTAGAGAGATGCTGTCTCGCAAAACAGAATGGATGGTGACTGAGGAATGACCCGAGGCTGACTTCTGGCCCTCATACATACATGTCTGCATGTGCAGTGAGCACGCACTAAAAATAAAGGCTAGCTAAGGTCAGGAGTGGCCAGTGGCGGCCCTGGGGTTTGAACCAGGCATTTACACTCAGAGACCATAGAGCAGTGCAACTCTGGGAAGACAACAGGGCCGCCCCTCCACAGCAGTTCTTAGAGCATCGTGGTCTACAGAAATCTTATCCACGAGCTAACACTGGCTGAAATCTGTGCGGCTAGGGCAATGTCTAAAACCCACTAACAGAAAAGAATATTCACCGATGGTGGTGCAAACCTTTAGTCTCAGTACTCAGGAGGCAGAGGCAGGCAGATCTCTTTGATTTGGGGGCCAGCCTGGTCTACAGAGTGAGTTCCAGGACAGCCAGGGCTACACAGAGAAACCCTGTCTCCAAAAACAACCACAAAAAAGAACATTGACACTAATGATTGTAATTAAACATTCAGTGATTTCTTGCTGTGAACAGACCATTATCTCATTCAGTAGCCTTAGTACTGTAACGTGGGTAATGTTACTATTCCCATCTCATATGCGAAGAAACCAAAGCCTCCAGTGGCGTACCACAGGCACTCCCTGCCTACTGAGGAGTCATGGCTTGAATCTAGATCATACCTTCCAGACCCTGCACTGCTGCTCCCCTGCCCTCTTCATCACGAGCTGCTGAGGAATGAGCAGCCATCAAAATGTATACATTAAACCAGGTGACAATGGTGCGAACTTTTAGACCCAGCCCTCAGGAGGAAGAGGCGGGTGGATCTCTTTGAACTCCAGGCCAGCCTGGTCTACAGAGTGAGTTCCAGGACAGCCAGGGCTACACGAGAAACCCTGTCTCAAAAAAAACAAAACAAAAAATGTATATATTGATTTTGTTCATAATCAATTTCTTTTTAAAAAGTTTTAAAGGGCAGGTGATTTGAATAGATATTTTCAATTCTTCCCCTAACCAAAATTGTGCTTTTGTTCCCAAGAGTCAATTTTGGTTTAAGGTAGCATAATGACTGCTTTAAGCTCCCTGACCACATGGGGGCAGCACCACGCAGTGCTGGTGCTTGCTCTTTGCTCCTCTTTGGAAAGGGCCCAGCTGGAGCCATACATGGTGGGGCACAGTATTCCCTCTATACCATTTTTCTCTGGCTACGTGGAATGGTGGTGAAGCTTTTCAGACCAGAAACTGAACAACTACATGTAGGAGCCATACCCTTATGCCCTCAAAAGCGGTGGGCTGGACCATAAATACATATTTATCTTGGTCCAAACCCTGGTGAATTCAACCTCTAGTGTTGATCCTGAGGCCTGGACAGGGTCTCTGTGATACACTCAAAAGGGAGTAGTCTTTGGGGTGGACAGGAGCTGGGGACCCGTTGGCCAGCCACCCTGATTTGGTAAGCTCTAGATCCGATGAGAGATCTACTTCAGAAAATAAAGTGGAGAAAGAGTGAGGAAGACCCCCAGCATCTTCTCTGGCTTCTACACACATGCACCTGCACACAGAGTAGTGGCCAAAGCCAAGGAACCCCAGCCCTCATCCCTAAGTGTTCATGCGTGTGCACCCACGCAAAATAATAAGTCAGAGTGCAGAAACAAAGGGGGTGCAATGCGAGTAAATATCATCCAAACCAAAAGTCAGTTCTTTTAGAGGCAGGACAGAATTGACAAGGTCAAAAAGACAAGGACAGAGGGTGGGTTGTGACACTATCTTTGCTAATGAGGGCTTGTGTTGGGAACCAGTGGGAGAGATACATTTGAGCTTCCCTGGCTCCCTGGAGAAATAGCGGAGTCAGGGAACCCAAGAGCTCAGACCCAGGAAGTGGGTTTTAATAAAACAGGGTGTTTGTTGATGTGTGCCTGGGCATTTCTGACTAGCCAGCCACCTGGAGAAACAGAGTTTGCTTTGGAGGCTGGGAAAGCAGAGCTGTTAGAGGGGTAGACCAGAGGAGTCTCTCTCTCTCTCTCTCTCTCTCTCTCTCTCTCTCTCTCTCTCTCTCTCTCTCTCTCTCTCTCTCTCTCTCTCTCTCTCTCTCTCTCTCACACACACACACACACACACACACACACACACACACACCAGAACAACTGTGAGGGGCTCCGCCACAGCTGTTCCCCAGTAGACAGGCAGCTGAGTAGCTTTTACAGTCTCTAGGCCTGCCTGCTCTTTGGGATTTATTTGTAGTAGACGCAATCACCCATACGCGAACTGCACAGCAGTAATCAGGCATTACACAGCCTTCCCCGCTAGGCTGAGAACATCTGAGAGTGGTATGCATACTGTGTTAACTTCTGTGTTTAGCATTTCGTTGAGTTCTTCCCCCTTAAGGAAGTGTGACTAGCCACTTGAGTAGGGGATACCCTCTCTAGTCGTGTTGGGGTGGAGAAGGTTAGGCCAGACTTAATGTACATCACATTTCTTCATTTCATTGTGAAGTTTGGCAGCTTCTCTTTGCTTTCAAGGAAGAAAGTCTGCCCCACCTAGCCCTGGTCTCTTTGACAGGTGCACAGCTTCAAGGGGGCCTTGGCATGCAGGGAGGGAGGGGTGAGGGAAAATTCAGATCACCTGGGGACGGCAGCTCTCATGATCAAGAGTATTGCCCATGCTGCGTGCTGTGTTTCATGTCTTGGGAGTGTGGGCTTGTTAAAATAAGCACATAATTCTTTTTTGGTTTTTGTTGTTTTGGCACGCGTGCACACACGTGCGTGCATGTGTGTGTGTGTGCACGTGCGTGTGTGCGTGTGTGTGTGTGTGTGTGTGTGTGTGTGTGTGTGTGATTCTTTATACAGCATTCTGATTATGGTTCCCCTCCTAGAGATCTTCCCAGATCTCCTTCACCCAAATCCCCAATCCCTACCCTTTCTTGCTCTCGCTCATTAGAAGACAAACAGGCATCTTTAAAAAGTGAAAATAATAATAATAAATAAACACAAAGATAGGATAAAATAAAGATAAACAATCCTGAATAGAACAAAATAAACAAATGATCATAAAATTGTTAAAAAGAGCCAAAGAGGGCTAGAGAGATGACTCATCGGTTAAGAGCACTCCAGCAACCACGTGGTGGCTCACAGCCATCTGCAGTGAGATCTGGTGCCCTCTTCTGGCCTGAAGACATACATGCAGTCAAACTAGTGTACACATAATAAATAAAATCTTTAAAAAAAAGATCCAAAGAAAAAGTGTAAACATATATAGATACAGACACACACACTCACACAAACAGGAATCCCATAAAGACACAAAAAAAATCAAAAACCATAATGTATAAGTAAAATATCTGTAAGAGGAAAAAAAAAGTCCAGACAAAACATTATGAGAGGAGAAAAATACCTCCAAAAAATACTATTGAGTTCATTTTCTGTTGGCCATCTACTGTAATGTAGTTCACTCTCTTCTATTTCCTTTGCCTTGGTACCTAATAATACCAGGTCTCTTGGGGTTACATTTATTACCATTAAAAATCTGTTCTCTCACAGGTGATACGAACGTAGAAGCTTGTGTGCCATTAGTTAGCTCTGTGACTATAATCCTGGTGTTTTCCTTCTAAGGAAAAAGTATCTGAGAGCACAGCACTAGTTAGACAAGGAAGGTTGTCCCTATGCTTTCCAAAACACAATCATCGCAATTTTGTTTTCCAATAGCAGAGGGTTTGCTGAGTTGGATGATTAGCCACAGTGAGGCAAATAAAGGTGCATTGAGCAGACCCTGTAGCTGCCTAGTCATTCCAATTAGCACGATGCAGATGGCCACGACTGAGGAGTCACTGTGTGTTGTCTGACTTTGTCTTCCAGTGTTTTGCTGTGCGTTCTCTGGGCTGGGTAGAGATGGCAGAGGAGGATCTTGCCCCTGGGAAGAGCAGTGTCGCTGTCAACAACTGCATCCGGCAGCTTTCCTACTGCAAAAATGACATCCGAGACACAGTTGGCATTTGGGGAGAGGTAAGTCACCCTGGAAACAGTCAGTAGCTACTTTCGTGTATTCTGCTGTGCTTTGTTGAGCTTGGGGCTCTGGGAGATCTTGTAGTGAGGGGCTCCAAGTGTTAGGACAAATACTGTCAATTTGATGTACCAGAGGAGCTAATGGTTAACCCCACAACAAGTCACTCAAGACCATGTCCCTAGGAGAGATCATTTCTCAGGGCTAAATGAGTTATCTGACCCTCAGATCCTCAATGATCCATCGGTAAATGATCACAGCTCAGAAGCCATCCCATGTTCATGTGCACAATGGAATGCCATCTATTAAAAAAACAGTCTTCTGGGGAACAGCCTATGACTCTCAGAGTGGCATGTGATTCTCACGCCTGCACTCATGAATACTGATGTCCTGCTCTATGAGGTGGCTAATTACCCTTTACATACTTCTCCATTTGTAACCTGACAGTCATAGCTGTAGAACTGACACCTACATTTTGTCTCACTTTTAATAAAGCGAGTCTACTTTGAGCTATTAGTTGAGATAATGTCTGAAGGCTGGAGAGATGGCTCAGCCGTTAAAGGCTAGGCTGGCAACCAAAAAGGTAAGAGATAATATCTGAATTGAAAATACTCCCAGATTTGCATTAAGATTACACCAAACAGGGAAAATCGCATTCATACTCTATGGCATGCAGAACACATTGGGAGCATCCTAGACCAACCTTGCCTGTGTCCCGCCAGCAGAACATGGGTTGGAGACTTTGCTTTCGAACTGGGCCATTGGCAACTCCACTGTTGGTTTCTCCCAGAAGTGCAGCATGATGAGAAGCAGGTCCCCAAGGCTCTCCATGGTAGAGTCTGTCCCAAGGGAGAGCCTTGCTATGGGGCTGGACTCCATTGCTAACCAGACTCTCTGATGGGAAGAAGAGTTTTCTCCCTTGCCAGAAAACCCCTGTTGAGACTTCCTGCTTTGCTGTGTCACATCCAGTCACCAAGGACCGACTCTGACAATGAAGTGTGATCTCACAATACATCCCTGGATTTGAAATTTAACAGGCTTTGTTCTCCTTCAGTCAAAATGTTGGCTTTCCCATCCTTAAGACAATTTGCTGTGATTTACGCTAACGTGAACAGCAGACATCTGCAGATCCCCTAGGTTTGAGGCAGCAGGCAATCCCTTGGCCAGGCTCTGTGGGAAGGCTTTGGCCACACGGAGTCTGTGTTAGTTACATTTGTGTTTGTGATGTCATCTGCAAATGGTTTGTCTGCTCTTGAGGGAAAGCTCTCGATCACTCTGAATGCCAGCTGCAGACACTGGCCACCTTAATACTGTCTGGCAGAGGCACTGTCTTCCTGCCCCTGCCACCCCAAGCATCACAGCTCAATCATTCTAAGAACCTTTACATCATTCTCAAAAACTGCACTGAGAGCCACTGATCCGTCCCTTTGGGATTGGAGCCCCAACAAGAGGCCTCATGGTTCAGCTCGTACAGGCATCCCTGGTTTCAGTGTGCCGGCATCTGGGCCGCCTTCTTAGGAGACCATCTTTCAGCTGGATAGCAGACAGTTAGTCATTCCTTGATTGCCCTTGTGCATGAGGATTCTATGAGGGAAGAAGAAAGTTACATAAGCTAGCATTCCTGCCCTTATAAAGCCAACCTGTATAGGGAGCGAGGACATGAATGAACCCTACAAATCCAAACTGCAGCTCAAGAGCTGAAAAGCCAAAGGTCTCCCTTTCAGTATGATGGCAATGTCCATTATAGGCTCCGCATCAGATCTTGGGCAGGTACTTAGGGCTCAGCCTTGGTGGTGTCTGCAGCCAAGCTCTCACAGGGCAGCTGAGAGTCCGGTGCAGCTCAGCTATCCAGTGTAATACTTGACATTCAGTTAACAAGCACAGGGAAGTGATGCTCACCGTCCCTTGCCGGCCACGCCCCATGGACATAGGGCTGGAAAGCGGAGGAGATGGGCATGGCTTTGAGTCAGGGAGAAGCGTGTTCTTGGCATGAAGAATGGTGAGGGGGGAGCCATTGGAGGCTGGAGGGGGTGTGGAGTTCACAAAAGAAGATTCTCTGAAGCCTTCCTGTAGGAATTTGTCTAGATCCAGGAGTATAAATAGTTAAAGATAGGAGCTGGTCAGAAAGCAGGCTGGCGCACATCAGATGTAAGGTCTCCATATTTTCTTGTTGGCTCCCAGGGCAAAGACATGTATCTGATTTTGGAAAATGACATGCTCAGCCTGGTGGACCCCATGGACCACTCCGTGCTACATTCCCAGCCCATCGTGAGCATCCGAGTGTGGGGTGTGGGCCGAGACAATGGCCGGTGAGTTCCTGGGCTGGTACAACCTAACCTCCCTCAATACGAATCCTAACAGAAACTGATTAGAGATGTAATAGACCAGAGTAAGTCTTTGCTCTTCTCCCTCGCCTCCCAAGATATCCAGGATTTCCCACCCTGGCTTCTGTCCCTCAAAGTTAGTCAGCTCCGACTTGTGCATGCCTTTGGGTCTACATTGCAAGCATTACAGCTTGGGTGGAAAGGTTTGCTGGCAGCCGGGAACCAAGGAATACCACGAAATCACACTGCACAGCAAACCTCACACAGAGTTATTGGGAGGGAAAAAACCAGGAGGGTGGCTGCCTCTGCTTACGTGAGAAACAGCAGCAAACTGAACAGGATACAGGGATTACATAGAGCGTGGGGGGGTGGAACTTTTCAGGGTGGAGCTTTCCAACATGGAGATTAGTGGAATTTCATGTCCATAGATTGGGCTTTTTACTCTGTAAGATGGGGCTGGATCCAGCAGTTAGAACAGCTAGAATGAGTATTCTGTGGGTGGAACCTGGCAGCTAGAAGTCCTTGGGGGATGGGCCTGGCCACTCTGTGACTTGAGGGACTTGCATACAGACTTCTCCCTCATTTTACCAAGTTCCCCTATGCATCAGACAATCCCGCACCCCTTTATTTCTCTTTTCTCCACATTCCTTTTCTAATCGGGGTCATTGCACTTGGGTGCATCCCGGATGCCTAAGATTCATGGCACTAGGGATGCTTCTTCCAGATGCCTCAGATCCACGCCACTAGGGATGCTTCCTCATGGGCTTGTTTGAAAGAATGAGGTCACACACAAGCCTAAACCATCTGGGTTTAAGTCACGAGTATCAGCGGCTTGGGTTTGGCTGAAGTTTTTTAGTTGAAATGTTTAGTTATAACAGTTGCCTCCCGCATGTGTTTTTATGATATTCTACTGAAAATGAGTTACTGCAAGTACTGTGAATCGTCTGTTCTCCAAGGTGACAGGAAACTGATGTTCTGATTTTCTGACCAATGTCATAGCTATTAACTTTAGCAGTTGTTACTACTACTATTGTACTTGAACCCCACTGCAAAACAATTGGACAAAAGTACCGACAGTTAACGCTTAAATGATAATCAGTGCTTGGGCAAGTCCCGAGGTATAGGGGCAGCTTCTAGCATCTTGGGTCAAACTGTTGGACATTTAAAGTGTCATGTTGAAAATGGACAAAATTGTTACAAAAGTGGATAAAAGTCGCGGGTGTCAAAGGGATGGTTTTCCTGAACCTTCTGGCTTGTTTGTTTGTGTATTTGAAATTGGGTCACGCAGCCCGTTATAAGGGAAGGGTCTGCCTTGTCTGGTACAGCCATCCTGTGAATGAAGCCCCAGTGTGTTTGATCATCTTTGACCAGTTCTGCCTCCTAAACCAGAAATGAAGGCTTATGACTAAATATTTGTCAGTCAAAGGACAAGCATTTATGCTGCAACCAGATTCGAGAAAGAATTCTCAGATTGCTGATTGGGTTAAACCTTCCTGGGAGTGCAGCACATCTCCGAGCTCTCAGTACCAGGGTGAGGAGCCCTAAGAGCTGTGACAGATGCTTTGGGGTGAGCGAGGAGATGGTCCGTATAGCCTGCTGTGCATTTGGAGCGCTGGGGTGCTTGTCTTCACTTCCGTGAATTGCTGTCACAGAGGAACTCTGAGGTGGCCGTTACCCATCTCTGGAAACATGTAGCCTCTGTAGAGGGCTCTTACTTTCCCGATTTCTGTCCTCCATATCTGTCTGTACAGCAGGAGCCAAAGTGGGCACCATTATATATTCCCACGACTAGAAATGTGTATTCAGGTCCGTTATTTGCTTTTGTTTGCACTTGACCGAAGGCCCCAAACATGCTAAGCAAGCACACTCCACCCCTGAGAGCCATCCTCAAACCTGCTGCCTATGTTTTAGATTTTACTCATGCAAGCTTTCAGTCTACACTGTTTCTTTAAAATAAAGCCAACCGCTCGCTACATGTGTAAAAGAGAAACATGATTTGGATTCTAGATGGCAAAATTGCTCAAACTCTCTGCGCCTCATTTTCTCTCATCTGAAAAATGAAGATAACGCCAGGGACAACAGCACATGTGTGTATGCACCAGTGAGTGTATATATAATAATCGGCATGATGATGAAAGCATGCAAGTGGTTAATGAATGTTTACTCTTGATTTTTTTTAAGCAACATGTACTTAACAGATGCAGCTAATTACATGGCTCCCTCTTCACGCCACTGCACGGGGAGGGGTCAGACGTCTGGTAGCGTCGAGGATGGTTGATCACTGGAGATAGGCGATAGGAAACTCTTGCAAATCCTGATGAGTTCAGTTTACCTGCAGAACAGGAAGAACCCCTCCCACCCCTACCAAAGAACACTACACAGGGTACGTGGTGTTAAGTAGTGCCAACCCCTAGGCAGTCAGGACCTCAGCAAGTCTCTGTGGTTAGTGGGACCGGGCAGGGTGTCTTTGAGCCCTTTTGGTTCAGTAAGTAAAGAAGCAAACTTGCCACTTAAATGTTCTTTTTTTTCCCATTGGTCCCCTGAGCTTTCATGCCCTGGAAGGAGCCTTTGCATTCCAGGGAGGGAGATAGATAGATAGATAGATAGATAGATAGATAGATAGATAGGTAGATAGATAGATATACACACACATAATACATATATGTATGTGTGTGTATATGTATATATATGTGTGTGTATATATATATATTTAACTTTCCTTTGCTTTTTATTCTCCCTCTCTTTTCCTTAACAGCAATTTACAAGAGCAAATTCAATTTATAATGCTGCAAAGGAGAAGGGTTTCCACTTTGCATGAATAAAACATAACAGTGTTTCATTCTGCCAGAGAAAACAAGGCCATTTTGCATTCTCTTTTGTAGCTTGCCTTGCTGAGAAAACGGCCTCTCTTGGGGGTTTCTTGATGTGGTTAAAATGAGTAAGAAAAGTATGTGTTCCAGGCTGAAAGGGCATTGCACCCCACTGAGCTGTATAACTTCAGAGTTTCTGGAAGTGCTTTGGGCTTAGCATTTTCTTAAGGCCTTCGAGGGACTCGCTTTCCTTGAAATCCCTCGGGTAGTAGCTCTACTTTGGATGAAGAGGAGATCTGGGGATGGGAATCAGGGCAAAGGACCAGGCCTGCCAGAGCCATGTTAGCGATGCTCGAGCTGGCTGGCGTCCCTTCAAAGGGTCAAGACATTAAAGGTGAGAACCACTGGTCTAGAGTCCCTGGGGAACTGTTTAACAGAGTGGCAGGTCCTTTTCACACGCTGTGGCTTTGTACTGCCCTCTCCACTGGAATACTAGTCAGTTCTATGTAGCTGTGAGAAAATGTCTCAGACAGTCTTTTTTTTTTTTTTTTAAAGAAAAGAGTATTGTGGTCCTTGATCAGTTAGCATCCTTGCTTTTGGGCTGTGGCAAGGTGGCTCTAAATCTTGAGGGAGCTACTTCCCTCGTCATTGCTGAGAGACCAGTGGGAGAAAGAAATGGGCCCAGGGGCCCAGTGTCCCCATCTGGTTCGTGTTCTTACAGGACCAGAGCACCTTCATCTAGGCCTTGCATCTTAAAGGCCACTTCCTTTAAGTGAATAGAGAACCAAGCCTTTGTGTGGGCTGTGGGGAGACACACGTATCAGTTTCCTTCACGGCCAACACACTTTGGGAAAGAATGCTCGGGGTAGTGAACTCGCTCATTTAAATTAATGGCAACACTAAATTGCTGAGGCTTGTTTTTTAAGAAAACTATGATTGCATTCGATAAATAATGAGGATAAGTGGAGACCCCATTGGGCCTGCTCTAATGAAGATAAAATTTCTCCGTAATTAATAGCAGCCATCAATAGCTTTGCATGCGCGCGCTTTTTAGGCACCGGTCCTCCCTTCTTATTCAGCTTGAACGTGTACTCTGTGAAGCGTGTGTAAGTGGGGTTTGCGGGGCAGACCTTCTCCTCCTGGAAAATGTTGTACAGAGCACTTTTCTGATTGTGATGGCTAATTTTAATAAACTCTGCATGTCACAGATTATTCCTAGACCGTCAGATGATCTCTCTTTGGCTTGGTTGTTCTGTCTGGCTTTGATCTTAGGAACCTTTTATTCATCAAATATAAAGGACTGCAGCAGGGCTGTGGTGCACGCCTTTGATCCCAGCACTTGAGAGGCAGAGGCAGTCGGATCTCAGCTGAAGCCAGCCTGGTCTTCAGAGCGAGATCCAGGACAGCCAGAGAAACCCTGTCTCAAAAAACAAAACGAAACAACGCAGCAACAACAAAAAAAGGATTGTGCAGAATATTCGTAAACATTCTCCTCCCTGGGTTATCTATCCCCAGTGGGCTTTGTGAATGGATTTGGGTCAAGCTGCTTTCAAAGGCTTTTTGCCACACATAGTGTTTGTTCCTGTCTCTGGTTTTGCTGCTTTGTTTTGGTTTCTTTTGAAAACATTGCTTATTTTTGGCTGGACCTTGACAATGCTGCAATTATTTAGTTAGGAAGAAAAAAAAGCAACAACTCCAACTGACCTTTCCTCCGCCCCTCATTCTTTGGCAGCACTAGGAATTGAACCTGGGCCTCACCCATGCTAGGTAGGCAAGTGCCTTACCACTGAGTTCTGTCCCCATCCTTTCCTCCTTTCCTTTGGGACTGGTATCACTGTGTTGCTCAGGCTGGCCTTGAACACACTGGTCATCCCCAGTCCATGGCTGTTCTCTCCTCTAGCTATGCCAACACTGGTCCACGGTCTGCTGTATCGAGGGAGGGGTGTGTTAATCAGCTTTCTGTCATTATGCCAAAATGCATGCGATGGTCACCTTTAAAAAGAGGAATTAGTTTAGCTCTGTGGAATGCCTCCTTCAAACATCTCAATTTCAGTATCCCCAGCCTCTTTCGTGGGTTCCCCTACCCGTGGAAGTCCGAGCCCTGTCTTGGAATGACTGCTCTCATAAGAATCCCTTACTGCTGTCTCCGTGGCCTTGGCCTTACCAGTGGCAATT